ATGTCATACTAGTACAGTAGGAATAGTGTGGTAAGGATGGTCCTTTACAGGTATTATAGTTGGAAAGATTATCGTGGTGGTAAAAAAACAATGAAGGGAGAATGCTTACCCATACCTGAGAATCTAGGCTTGCAGTGAAAAACTCCAAAAAGGAGGGGTCTCCAGAAAGAGATCCTCTCCCAGTGGTAGTCAGCCCTTAAGTGGGGTCTAGGAGGGATGCAGTCTGGCTGGAATTCCTTCACCTGTGCTCCCACAGCTGACCCAGTCCTAGCCTTAGGTGATCAATCAGTGGTTCAGGCCTGACTCAACAGTTCCCATATGCATACTGAGATGTCTAGACTATTGTACAGAAGTCTTAGATCCATTACTCTCACAAAACGTGGCCTTGGGTGGTTTGAAACTACCCAAATCTCGGGCTGTCTAAAATAAGCAGTCCATTTACAAAAGAGGAAGCATACTTTAAAGTACTTTATTTGGGCTAATTGAGAGGTAACTAACAAATTCAAGGTGTTTTGAACACATTTAAGGAGTCTGATAAACATGAGGCATAAACAGAGTTATCAGTCATCAGAGTCACAGGATGAATTAGGTTGGAAAGGACCTCTATAGATCATCCAATCCATCTCCCTGTGAAAAGCAGAGCCAGTCTCCACAACAGACTCAACTTCAAAGCTGACCAGCTTGCTTAGGGTCTTAGGTGAAGAGTTGGAGGTATTACGGCTCTTGATTTTATACCCACCATCAGATAAAGTGTCGGGGATAATTAATAAAGTAACATGGAAAAATGACTGATCACAATTTTCAAAACTAAAAAGAATGTTTTATTAACTCCTCTTTACATTGTATGAGCTACATTCTTCAGACTTAGTAAAATTACATCTGTTCTTCTTATGCTATTTTATAGCAAACTATCAGACTTGCTAAGATTTTTACAAATGTGTCAAGATCAACTCTGAGCAATGATCCACATCTTCTAACGAGGAAGCTGCTTTTAAGCTAGCAATTTCCCCTTGGAACAACTGTTTAGATTCAAAACAAGCAGATACCATCTAAGACCACTGAGCCATGTTAATTCTGATATCTGCATCTAAGGTATAATTAAGGTTAAATCTCTTCAAGTGCTACCAAAGGAGCAGCCTCTGATTTTTGTTTATGTTTAAGAACAAATTAGAACAGAATTATAAGCACGAAGCTCGACTTGTTTTACAGCTCTAAGCTTTAAGTTAAGCTTACATGTATAGTCCATGTATCACTAAGCTTGAATTTGCACAGGGACCTGGCTACTTATTTCTTTGAGAGTGTTTTAATTTTCAAATAGCCATGGATGGATAATTTTTAAATAATGCAGTACTCTTAAAGAAAACTAAATGCTACATAAACAAAAACAGATTCTTAAGTAACAAAGTCATATGTCCCCCATAAATCAGGAGGGTTTCATACTGGCTACTGGCACTCAGTCAAATATATTTTATATATGCTTTTTTCACAATAAACTGAAATGCTTCATAAGGAGATATTCATAAAAAAAGAATGGCTATGTATTTAAGTTAAAATACAACACACACCTGCCAGATCAGACTCTATGGAATCTACATCATGCTGATAAATCTTAGATTTAGAAAATTATAATGGGTACAGTGAATCGCATAAATTCAAATCTATTATTAATTCTGCAAATATAAGGCAACTACCTTCACTATGCAGTTAAGCAAAGATGTATTTAATTTTAAACAGATGCTGATATAGACAGAAACTTTCATATATAACTCTTAGCTTCTGATAAATCCGTAAATGAACTATTGCAAATCAGACTTAATACACTTCAAATTAGGTCTAAAGTAAATTTTGTTTAATGACACAAAGCACTGTAAGTTTTCCAGTTTAGCATGTGGGTTTAAAACACAGCAGGATTGAAGACAACTCGTGCATGAGCCAATTTAAGCATTAATTGGAGAAAATAATTTTATGGCCAAAGACAGCTGGTGAAACTGCAGAGCAGCAACACTGGATCTCAAGATTTTACCACGAAGCTCTCCACACCAGGAACTCTGACAAATCTTCAGCTCCTGAAGCTCATATTAGGGAGAATTGTAGAATTTCATAACGGAGAGAGGCATATGCATGAACACCTTTCCAGTTATTGTAATTACAAGAAAGAAAGAAAAAAAGCCAAGAAGGTATTTGGTATTTCATGTAGACTTGAAAAGAAGAAAGCAACTGAGGATGAGCTCTTTTGTAATCTTAAGATTTTAAAAATTAATCTGACTCGCCATGAAATGCACTTGAACCAGCAACCCTGTACAGCACCTACACAACTTTGTAAGCAGTATCAGAGCAAAGGATTGCTTGTAGGCTACAGAAAAAAGGCCTGAAAACAGTGAATGAAGAAAATACTCCAAGCACCAGCAGTGCTCAAGGAAAACTGAGAATTATCACTTCCTGCTAGCTATAACAGCCAATGTAATCACATTGTGCCTTCCCTTCTGCTCAGTGCTACCAGGCTGCCCTTTTGATAGCAGTCAGGGGTCCTACATCTAATTACAAAGATTTTTAATTAAACCTTGAATGTGCTTTAACAGCTTCTAGCATGAGCTTGCCCTTGATGGAGCCACTTGAGGTGCTCTCCTTCAAGGGATGATGAAGTAAATCTCTGAGAACCATGGGGGAAGATGCCTTTTGCCTGTGTACGCTACTGCTTTTCACAGCTAGCTAGCTACAAAGCTGCTTGCGTTAGTATCAAGCTAAAAGAGCTTTCCCTGTGGGAGCTCTCCACTCTCTTCAAAATATACCACTCGCTATATTTTTGATGTAGGAGGAAAGTGCACTTAAAATATTAAGCGAGGACACAAAATGGTCTCAAACAAGAGCACAAACCAAGTCAGTGAACTTACTGGGAGCCTTTCCGTTGACTCTAATGGGAAATATAACACACCAGCAGAAAGCAAAAGCGTACAGCGTGGTTTCTCATATTTCAGGTCTCCTAAGAGTGTAGAACCGTGTGCCAAACATGAAGAAAATGACGAGCTTATTCCAGGCACCTCAAATAAAACAATCCCTCACTTTTCCCCTAGTAGCTTGTGAAACCTAGCTCTACTACACTGGAAAGTATCTAAGCAAAATAAGCACAACTCAGTAAGGCAGGAATTTTAGCGCAGGGCAGAAGAAAGTACCAGGAGAGGGCAAATTTTCACCACATAGCGTCCTACAAAACTACATTTTATTTCCATCTGTCTGCACCGATTCATCCTCCACCTTTCCCTAAGCACACAAGCAACTAACAAAGCAACCAGAGAGATCAGCTGCCGTATATGCTGTGCCATAAGCTGCCCTGCTTTTCTTCATGTCCCACTTTGTGTCTGTGTGTACGCACGAGCAGTGGGGGATGGACTGGGGGGGGGACCCGACAAAGGGTGTGTGTGCAGGGGGGTCAGAGTGGAAGCAGGTTCTCATTCACACCATCTGAAAAGTCCTTCTGCAATCAAGGGGATACTATTTCAGGAGACAGAAAGAAGGGGTAAAGGATTCACGTTGCTAAGGAGACACGCAGAAGCCAACATTCCTACATAAATTTCCATTTATGCTGGAGAAGAAAAGAAAGCTCTCCAAAGTTTGTGAAGAAGCCTGGGTAACTGATTGAAACTGACGTTTCTTTACAATTCATTGTGGCATTACGTGATATAAAACAAAAACCCCAATCAACATTTAAAATCTCTAACATTACTCTACACAATGGCAGAAAAAATAAGAACAGGAGCAAAGAAACACGTACTATTCCTACCATGGTAGCGAACTGCAATTCCACAGAGCCTACAACAGGATTTCAGAGAAGTCAGGGTAAAAGCAGCCTGCTGCCCCTTCCCAAAGCCAGCATCTCATCCCTGGGCGACGTACCAGAAGTTGCAGAGCCCAGCGATGCAAAGGGATGATTTAGAGATGTGAGTGTGTGTGTGGAGGGAGGATGGGGTGGGGAGAGACTGGCTGCCTTTGTGGGTGCTTCTGTTGGGACTCCAGAAGTTGCCATCGGCATAAAGTAAATTAAAAAAAGGCATGAAAATGGAAACAATTATCAAACTCCAAAAGAATTCACTGAAAAATATTCAACAGGCAGCTTGTTTATATCACACAGTTTTCTTTTTGTATATTTTTTTCCCAAGTAATGGCGAAATGGCATTAATATATACACACACATATATATATATAAAATCAGCCACATAAAAAGCTGAACATCAAGAAGTCAAAATAGAGAATGTGGTGAGAGAAAAAAGGAGTACAGATGATGATGGGAACAATATCTAGCAATACACACTAGAAAAAGACTTGAGCACATCAAGACGGCTGGCAGAGAGCTAAAATCCAGATGTCTTCACTCACATAACTCACTCAAATAACAACAATTTTTTTATTTTTTTTTTTTAATTTGGGAAGCCCCAGTTAGCAAAGACCAGTGACTTTGGGGAATGGAGAGAGAATGGTAAGGACCCCTGATCCCCCGGAGCTTCTCAGAACAACGGCCACACAGAAAAATAAACCCAAAGTGGCTTAAAGTCGGGACCTTTTGTGCAAACCGCCGAGCGCAAATACAGAGTCAGTCACCTCCGTCACTCACAGAGCTAACCTTACACCTCCGCTGAACCCCACACCATCGCGCAGGGAGGAGAAACAACAGAACGTGGACTCTCGGAGCCCTCACCAGCTTATGTTACGTCCAAAACCCATTTCCACCGCCTTCACCTTCACTCGCATGACAGAGAAACGGGCTGGAGCCGGGCGGGGAGGGCGGTCGGGACCGAAGAGGAGAACGGAGGACCGAGCACGGACACGGGGGTCGGGAAGGCTGCCCG